TATAGTTTGACATTATATAAAAGATGATTTTTAATGATTTACTTTATCCTATCAACATGTAAACAATATTTATTGGATGCACCAACTGCCTTCGGTTAAAACAAACAGGAACACAAAAACAAACAGAAACAGAACTCACACACCTCCCTGGTTCATCTCTGAAGTATGTTTAGGGTTAATAACACAACCAACTTTCCTCCCAACCTACACATACACAAATCACACATTTTACAAGAATGTAGGAGGACCCGGTTGATTCACTTTTCAAACTTGAAAGATGAGACATATTAACAAAGCACACTAATGAGTCAGCTGTTCAGGATGATCTACAGACCGGTTCATTTTCCTGTTATCAAATAGCAGACCATGAATCTTGACAAATGAACTCACTTGTTTGACATTATTTGCAATCTTTGCTTCTGCTGGTCCCCTCCCCTTTGAAATGCCTTTTTCAGATGGACTGTGATGGAAGGAAAGGGCGTGTTAACCTTCGTTTTGACTGTCTGCTGTGCCCCGTCATCATTCTTTGTCTCTCCCTTCTCCTTAGACGCATGGGAGCTCCTGCGGGGTGAGGTGCCAACCTGCAGAGTTCACTGCAAGGAGGTTGCTTGTGTTTATTGGTGCCCCATATCACTAAGTGTGACATTCTATAGTGCTGTGGGGGACCACATGGCTTCTGGAGTCCACCTCTCTAGGTTCAAATTGGGGCTCCAGCTGTGTGACCTTGAGAAAGCCATTTGCCCTTTCTGTGCCTCAGCATTTTATTTGACAACTGAGTAGAATATTATTGCCCTCACTGGGCTCTTATAAAAATAACATACATAAACATACAAAAAAAAGCTTATGAAGCAAGCTACAACAAATGTTACTTATAATTATCAGAATCTTTCAAAGAATATTTTAGGAATATTTTTAAGAATAGCATCTTCCAAAATGGATATGCAAGTCATTTTCTTTCATTTCCTGAAGAGAACACTGGTACTGATCTGGTGCTTTAGCAGCCCCAACATGGCTTAAAAGGTCTTCAGCCCCCATCCCATAATCCCTAACAGGCCCTCCCAGCAATACCCCCAATAAACATCTAAGAAAAAATCTGCCTACTTGTAAGTACGTGCAGCTTTGTGCAAAATCCTCAATCCCCCCTTCTTCAATCACAGCACCATCCAAAAATTCGGCCATTTCTACTGGTTCTAACCGAGCTGACACTGCACATTCGTAGCAATGCCTTGCCCTGTCACAGCACAGCGCTGTGGTGTTCAGTGACCCCAGACCGAAAGCCTTCCCCACTCCTAAATAGGATTTATAAAGTGTGACTTTGAGCCATATAGCAAAGTCAATTTTAACTGAGGGAAAACTTTTTATTTTTTTTAACCAACACTGGAACATTTCTTTCTTATGCCTAAAATGATTTAAAAGCTAATCAGTAACAGAATTCCAAATACGTTTGAAGACAAAGAGTTGAGGAAGGAATTAGAACCACTTTTAATCAGGGAAGTGGCTGCCATGACCCATTAACCCCTAAAGATTATTGATGCTACTTTTTTTTTTTAAGATGCTATAGTTCAGTTATTTGTCTTCGGCTGCCAGAGCATACAAAATCTCTTTTGCTTTTCACAAATTAATTCATTTAATGTCTGTGCCATTTGTCAGACATTCTGGGAACCTTCCACCAATGTTTTGTTGATTAAAGGATGTGTAGTTTGAAAATGGGTGGAGAGGAAGGAATTTATAATTCTTAAAACCAAAGAGTGATTTACAATGCAGGCTGCTCCCTGCATCATTCAGTGTATCATTGGCAGATAAATGAAATAGTAAGAATCAGCAAGAGTGTTGGCCCTGGGTCTTAAAATCTGTAGATTGATTAGTTCAATAACATTGGAGAAGGTCTTTCTCTTTCAGGAGAATTTCTAGAACCCACCAACAAGATTAAGACAGAAAACCAACTTTGTGTATTTTTTTCAAAGGGATTTTGAAATGTATCCTTTCTCCAGAACAGTTTGATGCTTCCACTCCTATTTATAAATTACATACCTCATTTCCATGCACACAAGTTCCCTCCACAGCTTTGATTTGCTTTTGACTGTTTTTTTTTTTTAATTTTTTTTCCAGTGAATACATTGGGCACTTTGGAGTGTACATTTATTGTTTTAGGCACCATGCAATTTACTAAATGGTGTTCCGTTATGGAAATGCTTGCAAAGACCCCTGGGGGAGAAAAAAGAATTAAGTAAACACATATTGATCATCCAGTAGTTGGTGCTTTCTTATTTGATCAGCCAAGGGCTAAGTCTGAGCTGGTCCATCTGATCTGGGATACATAAACCTGGAGACATTTTTCTGGCTCCCTGGTGGTTTTAAAGGCTATGCAATGGGAAAAAATGCTTTAAACACAGCCTCAATTTAAAAGATGCCTGAGTACAGGATAGAATTCAAAGAATTTGGAGAGAAGGGAGGTGAAAGTGGTAACAAACAGCTTTAAAATAGCCCTGGGAAATTTGAGAGTAATTCACATAAAGGAAGCAAAGGATAAATCCCATCTGTTCCATCGTGAGATACAGAGAAGAGGATGCTACTTAGCAAGACAGTATTGAACACCTACTGAGTGCAGGGCTTGTAAAGACGTAGAGCTCAAGTAGTGTGGGGCATCCAAGGAGCAAAATAGAACTGTTAGGTCAAGAAGGGATAGCTTTTCATGCTAGCCAAGAAACTTTATGCAGATTTATGCAGGTATGAAATACCAAAAGGCAATGAATGTATGCCATTTTATTCAAATACTGGGAACAGAAAGTGTTCTTCTGTATAATTCATTTAAAATTTTTACATTAAAAATGTTGGTAATAATACTAAGGAGATGGTTGAGAAAAATATTTATTTTAAAGAAGGGAGCTGGAGGCTCTGGGTGTTCCTGTCACATCTGCTGTCACCATCTCCTTCCTTAACCTGTCCCATACTCTGGCCACCAGTTTGTGTTTGCATTCGACTGCTCTGGGTGATCCTTCCCTCCTCCCACTTGCCCCAATTAATGAGAGCAAAACATGGAGAAAAGGAGTCCTTAAAAGAAGCTTGAAGTCCTGTACATATAAAGTGGTTCAGACCCTGGCCTAGGGACACAGTGGGAATGCAGAGTAAAGGATGATTCTGGAAGCTTCTCAGAGGTTTTGGTGGCTGACTGTGTTTTGAAATTTAGGATAAGGGAGCAGACAAAGCTCACACCAATGTGTCTCTCATGGAAGCTAGAAGAATGATAGCAACACAGAAAACAGTGGGTCATTGTGATGGGTGGGGTTGTGGGCAATTAGGAGATGAGAAGCTGGCATAATAAGTTGCATTTTGAAATATTGCATCTAAGAGGTGTTGTCTCCAATGAATCCAGTGGAAATATGGATTGGGGCAATCTGAAATCCTGGAAGATAGAAAACCGACGGTTAGAGCAAGAAGTGAGGCTGGCCACTGCTGTGACCTGGCCTCGTGTGTCTGGGGGCTAGCCGCCTCTAGGGGCTGTGTTTATTCACTTTATTGTACATATGATAGCCTAAATGCTTATTAAGCACCTGAATGCTGTTAGATAAATACACCCCCTTCCCAGTGAAACAGCAAATGAATCTTCAGGTTAAAACTCATCTCTGAAACTGCCCCACTGGAATCTTGCTAATGTGTGCCTTGTGTTTTAGGTAATGTTGTGGGTTATGGCTGAGAATATCTGAGATAGTTACATATATTAATATCACAGGCAACACAGATATAAGCCACAAATACTATCTTTATTCCTCTTCACACATTTCATTATAGATAACATGTATTGTGCACTTACCAATTTCCAGGAACTGTTTTGTTTGTATTAGCTCATTGAGCGTTTGTAAAGACTCTAGGACATAGGAGAGTTCTATTTGTCCTCTTCATATTAATGAGAATGTTGGGTCTCAGAGAAGTTAAGGCACCATCCAAAGATCACAGAGCCAATAAAAGGTAAAACAGGGACTCCAACCCAGAAAGTGTAATTTTAAAAGTTTTGACTATGTACCTGTATGAAAAATAAACTGATGAGTACCAGTCTATGAATCCTGGTATGTATAATTATAAAGCACTATATATTGCAAGTCACTGGGGGCCATTTTATCACCACCAATTTGTCATAAAATAAGTTAGACCATCTACTGGGGGAGATTTTTCCCTCATGGGACACTTGGCAGTATGTTTGGATGGTTTTGGTTGTCACAGGTGGAGGATGGATGCTCCTAGAACCTGCTGGGTACAGACAGGGTGCTGCTATCATCCTACAGTGGGCAGGGCAGCCCTTGTGGCAAAGAATTTCCCATCCAGGTTGTCAGGGTGCCTAGGTTGAGACCCTGGATTCAAGCAAGGTTAACGGGGGTCTTGTGTAGGGAGAGAATGGTGGCTCAGTCCTGCAAGCAAAGGGTATCTCATGAAGAAGCAGATCTGGGAATGGGGCAAAGAGGATAGATTCATTCACTGATTCACCCATTCATAGAATCACTATTTATAGAGTGCGTTCTCAATATCAGAAATCATGCAGAAAAGTAATGGTGAGGAAAAGAGTGTGAGGAAGTTTGGAGACAAAGAGGACACAGGGAACAGGAGCTGAGGCAAACCAAAGATGCTCGGCTATTAAAGGTGAGATGGGGGCAGAGTACTGGCACCTGAGGTGAGCAGTCTTTTCTGATTAGAGAGGGAGAGAACGTGCTCCATTACAAGAATAAGGAAAATCACAGAGAACAAACTGAGAAGCCATACGCTACTTCCAGGGGCGCGTGGGGACTTCTTCTTGTTCCATTTATGGCTGTCTCAACGCTGATCCAAATGCAGGGTCAGAGGGGGGCAAAAGCAACTGATGTTCTCAGAATACATAGAGCAGTGATCTAAATATGTGTGCATGTGTGGATTGGAGAGGCCGAGAAGCTTGCGTTGCTCTTGAGCGGCTCTGCTGGCCTGTGAGTAGGTGCTGGCTTTGTGTTTCCAGTAACAGCCTTTTCTGTTTCCAGCAGTCCTATGCACCAGCTCCCCACCCCATGGCTCCTCCCAGCCCCAGCACAAACACCAGCAGCCACACCAGCAGCGGGGAGCAGTTGAGTAAAACCAACCTGTACATTCGAGGCCTCCCGCCAGGCACCACTGACCAGGACCTAATCAAGCTGTGCCAACCGTAAGTGCTCTTCCGCTCTCTGCGCCGTTCCTCAGCCACACGCTCGCTGTGTGCGCTCAGTCCACATGGGACTTGCTGTCGCACCCAGTGTACCCGTTCCCCGGTGTCACAGCGAGGAGGACTCTGCTGCACCGGCGGGGCTTAAACTTGGGCTCGAAGTCCGGCTTATTCAGGGAATGCAATTTGTTGCCTTTTCCTGGTGGGAGTGGCGCGCCTCTTGAGCCCCCGTCCCTGGGAATGCGGGCTGGCATGCCTGTTGTGACTCAAAAGGCTGGTGAGCAAGCCCTGAGCTGGGCTTTCTTACTTGCAGTGGGTGGAATTTAGGATGAATGAACCTCAGGAAAGAAGCTGCTTTTGGGGAGAAGTGCTAGGGAGGGAAATCTTGAAACCTCGTAAGTGGTAGATTTCAGGATGCTTCCTTTTGGGTTGCAAAACTTTTCTGGCCATTTCTTGGCAGAAGTAAGTTCGGCCAGGACCAGGTAGTTGGAGAATTCTGAAACGAATACTCTAGTTGCCTTGAAAACATCGACTTCCACGTCCAGGGAAACTATTTCCCACCGAAGTCAAGAGCAATGCTCACCAAATAGTTTTGTATTTGCTAGGAAATGTGGTAGGGATTAAATGCCTTTCCAAAATGTTTTCATTAATCTACTATCTACCAACACGTATATTATTAACTCTGATTTCTATGCAAATAGATTAAACACATTTAAGTTTATGCTCCAAATAAAATTAATAATGAATAATGAATTAAGAATCATGGGCCTGTATTTTTAGGTTGCTGATTATTTTCAGAGTGAATCAGTACAACCATTTGTCTTCTGCTTGTGCCTGAGCTGGGTATTTCTAAGTTTGGGGATGCTATTACTCAATTTTCCTTTTTCTCTTTTTCGATGTTTTTATTGGAAGGGTGAGATAATATTTATTTTGTAAATTTTCCAACCTGTAAGATATTGGAAGAGGAAAACAAAGCAGACAGTATTTATTTGTCTTTGTTCTGTATTTTAAGATTGGGAACAAATATCAAAAAAAAAAAGGAAGTGGCTGATAAACCAAAACACAAATATGTGACTGTACACCCAGTTGGCAAGGCAATATGTAGAAGAGGGTGGAGGCGCCCTGTTTCTATTATGTGCCTTAATTTGTGAAGGAGGTAAGGCAGAACTCGGAAAAAAAAGAATTGAAGATGTTGTTTTAAAAACAGAAACGTGCCAGGGTTAAGACACACCAACCTATGTTAGGGTTTGGTGTAGAAAATATTGGGGTTGAGAATCAGAAGGTATATCACTTAACTTTCTCCTGTTATCATTAGAAAAATTGAAGCTATTTTGAAAAGAGTGGTGTTTGATAATGTGACTTCAGATAAAATATCTCTTTTAATGGATGCTGAGCTGATAGAGGATAGCTGTTATCTTTGATTCATATCAGAATCTCATACACACAAAAAATATATTGGTGAATATTAAGGAAGATTTTTCCCCCATTTCTCTAAACCACTCGGAACACTTGTTGAAAGATTTCTGGATCCAAGAGATAATGGGTCACTAGATCTGGGATGGAGCCCAAGAATATGCATTTCTAACAGGCTCCCTGGTATCGTTGAGTTGCATTTCTTTCTCCAATAATATGAAGACCACTGTTTTTAATGCATAAAGTTTCACTTAATATATGAAGGTAGTTGAGGTGGAATTCTGTGTATTGAAACCTGCTCAGGTACTTCATGACCTTGAGGCAGATCATTCACTCTCTTGGAGCCTCAGTTTCTTCTTTTGAAAGAGTGGGTTGCATTTGATTGATTATTTCTAGGTTTCCCTGTAGTATCAGTGGTGTGCTGGAGTTGCCTCTGACTAGGGCACTGGAGCCAGTTGTTAAATAGTCAGGAATTCTGTGAGCAATGTGTTACAGACTCAGGAACTTACACAAGCCATAGTAGGAGGCTTTATATCCTAGGACTGACTCAACAAGTCCTGGAAATCAGGGCATTTTACATTTATCTTATGTTTATGGAGAACCGGTTTGTGAACATACCACCAACATAGCATGAATTTCTGCAGCAATGTCCATGTCTACAAAGAATGTTGCCAGAAATTTAGAAATGGAAACTGTTACCTGAAAGCCTACTTTGGCATTTTCCACTCAAGAAAGAGATTCAGTAATATAGAAACAGTATTTCTGAGGATAGATGTTTTGTTGTTTCTTTAATTTATTTGAAAGACTTAGAGAATACTAAATGCCCAGAGGATATTAATTACTTGTTCATATTAATTTTTGCTCGCTAGTGTGGATCTGGACCATGTTCTTGTTTTTACAAAAATGTTTGTGGTTCCCAGTTACCAAAGTGGTCTGACCTAGGGTTTATTGCTCAGATTATTTTTCCTCAACGATTTTAGAGAATGGATATGACTGAGCAGTGTAATGTGGTGAAAAGAGCTGTGTACCAAGAGGTCTGGGTTACAGTCCTGACTCTGCTATTAACAGGGCATGTGGCCTTAGACAAATGACTTTTAGCCCCTCCTAACTCTGCTTTCTCCCAGGTATAAAATCATGGTTTTGAACTAAGTAATCTTTTAAACTTTTTCACTCTAAAATTCTGATATTTCATTGAGACCCTCATTATTTAACACTTTTATATTCTTCACGAATCCTCTTCTGTAGTGTTGGCAGGGCCACAGCCTGAATTGATTCAGCTGCATGCATATGACCTGATGGCTGGAGACGCTCTTGGTAGGAGAACAGCATAGGTCATTTGTAAAGTGCTGTTTCCTCTTTTGTAGCATTGGTCTCTCACATTGCTCATTATAATTTTATAGTCGTCTAATGATACAAATCATTTTGTTTTCCTATTACTCATCCAGCACTTTTAAAATAATTTCAACTTTTAAAAGAGATGAAAGTTATAGGTTTAAAGACATTTGCCATCCAGATCAACTTTCTATGTTTATTCCTATGAAACTATAAGTAGCTTTAGAGTTAATGTATCCTTATATTATAGGAAATGCAAAACTTGTTAATATCCATAGTAATAAAATAATAGAAAACAGATATACAAAAATAACAGACATATTGAATTATCTGGTATTAGAATACAATATCCATATTAATACTAATGAACAGCAAGAAAATGATATTAAAGAAATTGCATTATCGCTCAATGTATAATCTGAGAGCAAATTCTTATTAAGGGATTCCATTCACATTCATCATCAAAGCTCCTACATTTGAGTTGCAAGTTAAATCAAAGAAAAGAAGACAAGACTCAAGAATAATAGAGACATGAAAGAATGGTTTTATTCTCTGGAAAATCTCTCGTTATACCTGTTTTGGATGAATACGCTGCATTGTGTGTCTTAGAAGAAATTCTATAGTTAAAGACGTTGTAATGTCTTTATCTTGACACATCTCAAGGAACTTTATTGTCTTCTCAATCAAGAAATATTTCCAAAGCACCTGTGCTGCCTGCCAGGTGCTATGCTGAAGGCTCCATGGTGAGTAGATGTAGACAAAGGCCGTGCTTTAACAGAGCTTACATTACACCAGGGGACATAGACACCAATTAAATAATCATATGATTTAACATAAAATTGCAACTATAAGTGTAAGAAAAGAGAGAGGATGGGACTATCAATGTTTATAGCATGGGGTTGGTCCTGGTGAGGGAAACAAGCAAAGGAGTCTCTGAGGAAGTGACAGCTGAGCTAAAATCAGAAGGAGGAATAAGTCTAACCAAATGAGGAAGGAAGAGAAGAGCTTTCTAGGCACAAGGAACTTCATGTTTGTGGAACCAATGGCTGGAGGGAGCATGGCAAGAACAGGTGGTGGAAATAGGCCAAGATTGCAGCAGACAGATAGAGGTGATGAGTGGGGCCAAATGTGCTGGAAGCATACAGAGGGATAAGGTGATCCCTTTGTAGATCACATTAGGAGCTTTATTTTATCCAAAGATCAAAATCATTGAGTTCTCATGAACAGAAAGTTGACAGAGTCACATTTTTGTATCAAAAAATAAGTCCAACTCCAGAACGGAAGGAAGAGATTCCATGAGATCAAGGGACTGCCAGATGAGGACTGGTTGAAAAGAGAGTTGGAAAAGTAATTGTTGGTCAGAGAAGAGAGCATGAGAATTAATAATTGTGATGATAGAACAGTCATGTGTGGCAAAAGATGTCTTTCCACATGTGTTATTTTTTCTTTAAAAAATACAAGGGCTTGATATTTCATACTGAACTATATTTCCTCCCTCAAAGAAACTGGTAAATTATGTGGTTATAAACATGCTCTTGAAAAACACTACAATTGCTTAAAAAAACAAAAAACCTATTTAACATAATGGACAGGATTTTAAATGGAAAAAGTCATTAAATGTGTTTATATTTTCCATCATCTTTCAACTAACCATACTCAAGACTTATCAATATGAATTAATACAGTGCTTTCCAAAAGCCCATGGGCTCTTCTAAGCTGGGCAACATTGTGCAGGTGCAGAATAAATTGTTCTACCTCTGTTATTAAGTGAAGGTGCCTCCACAAAGACCACTGGAAGCAGAAGGAAGGAAAAGTAGGGAAACCTTTGGGTAGGTGCACACGTATTTCCAGTCATCACCAGGAGACCTGGAAGTCAGCTGCCATGCCCGTCATTTTTCTCTGCAGCTGTTCTCCTTGCTCGAGCTATGACGTCCTAGCCCTAGCACTGCTCCCTTTAAATTGAAGCTGTAAATGTCGCTTGAACATTTAACGAGAGAGAAATGCCCACGATGGGAAGCCAGAACAAAGTAGGAGTGTTTGTGCTCAAGAGCTGGGGGGCTGCTCTAGCTAATCTCCCCGACTGTTACCCAATTCCGTTGGATGTCTTGTTACGATGTGCACTGAACGCTGAATAAGTAGAGCAGGCTCGAGTGTCATCCAGGCTCCAAGTGCAGAGTCCATTATACATGGTGTCAGACAGTTTTGACAAATGCACCAACACAATCAAACGTTTTATCAATTTAAAAGTAACCTTGTCA